GTATAGGCCTATAAAGAACATAAACGAAATTTATTGGTATACATGAGTGCTAGGCTTATGTTTGGGTCCCGGACATCGCTTTAATTTTGCAGTCAAGGTGTTCAAACGTCGACGAAAATGTTACAAAACATCCAGATATAGTACCGTAATTCAATTCAATTTATTTCTTAAATAAATGTATAGCTAACATGAATAACACAGTATACATGTACGGTATATACACACGATAATTGTATAGGTATAGTATTGAACTTAAGACAAGGCTAGTTACCTGGAGGTCGTGGTTTCGATTTTCACGTGAATCATTGGGAACATAGAGCCTACTGACGGTATTCAGTACGATAACGGTCACTGCCCCCGTCACTGTAAGGCAACATCAGGTTCTATGGAATCTGATGCAAAAAAAAAAAATGAACAAATAAATAAATAAATAAAAAAACAACGTTGAAAAGCATTTCAGCTGTTAAGTGGTCTAGTGGTTGAGACACCAGACCTAGGTCGATGGTTCAATTCGCGAATTACTTGAGGTTGCTTCGCAATAAGTATTTTTGAACGCTACAATATGAGTAGCCCTATACTGTATATGATAAACCGTCAGATCGGACTTGTTTCTATCGATGTTTAAAGGCGTGATAATTTCTTTTCATTTATTTATTTGACATCAAGCTGTCCAGGGGTTGCGTCAGCAACAATGCGCCATAACACAGTGTGTCCGCAACCCCTGTACATGCAGGGGTTGTGTACAGGGGACCAGATTAGGCCTGTGCCTCATGTTAAATTTGGGTGTCTTCAATAAAAAAAAATACGATTCAAACCAACAAATTTAAAGTTACCAATAAAATAGATTATTAAAATTTGCGAATTTCAAGAAAAGGTATATAAAAAATTGAAATGCGATAGGTTTATGAAAAGTTGAAATTTTTTAAAAAGGTATTGCACAGAATCAGTGAAAAATTTACACGGAACTTATAAATATATTATCAACGAGGTGTTTTCTGAACTTCATCATTTAAACGCCTCTATCGCCGCCCTAGATCAGCTACTGATATTAAAGAGGTAGGCCTATAATCCAAGGACATGTTAATCTTATAATAAGAATGCAGGTAGAGTGGTTCAAATATAGCTAGGCCTATATCTAAGGATTTCCTATTAATATCCAGTTTGTAATTCACAGTAGACGTATTAAAACCTTATTTCCTAACAAATCAGTTACACTATCAAAGATTTTTGGTACATTGGTACACATTTGGTACCGAATTCCTTGATATTCCCGCTTTATTAGTATATATTTATTACTTAATTATGTCTATATAGCCTTATATATTTTTTATACTTATTTATTTCCACTCCTCACACTGGACGGTGGTGCGTGTGTGACCTTCGTTCATTTTCATTGACCCCATATTCTGTATGAACCAATCAGCTTTCATGTTTAGGTAGCTCTCATGGCGGCGTTCTAACCACAGTTTCTTCCTGCAAAAATCAAGACAGCGAGAAACAAAGTTGATACCTAAAAATATCGGCTTACTTCCCTTGTTGCCAAAGTTGATACTGCAGGAGAGGAAGTACATAATTCACAGGGACATATTGCCATGAGTCATGGTGATTCAACAGTTGTGTCAAGAGGTAATTTGTGTCTAAAAGGGAGGTTCTTTAGTTACCGTTTCATTTATAGGCTAAATTGATTCGAGTACACAAACGCTGCCCACAAATCTGGATAGGCTAGGCCAAGGAAGTGCACTCTCTCGGTGCTTTCTTGCTGTCATATAGGGCGTACCGAAGTTTTGGGTAGGCCTAGCTATTCTAGCCAAGAAGAGCCTAGCTTTTTGTCGACCAAATTGAACTCCTTATCGCATAACAAGATCTTAGTTAAAAACTTCATGACATAATTGTTACAGTTTAATTGTATGTGCAACAACAACAGGTGTCAACGCCAATCAATAGGCCCTAGGCCTAAGCCCTACTACTCTCTAGTTAGTAGGCTAGGCCTAGGGCCTAGAAAGAAAGGCCTAGGGCCATGCATTTTTGCTTTGCTAGCTAACTGTAGCCTGGGCATATTCCAGGCCTACCTAGCCTAGGCCTAGTCCTACCTACCACACTGAAAAAGTATTTACTATTTTGATAGTATTAGTAGGCCTAGCCTAGGCTAGCTTTATAATTTACTCCCACACACGGACCAAACAACCAACAATAAACTCCTCACAAACACTGAATCCAGGATAATGGGTGACAAACAATCAGGGCCATTTCATGACGATCGGGTCCAACTAGTGTAGATAATCGGACCCACGCAACAACAATACAATCGGGTCCACCTAGCGTGGACTTTCGGGGTCACTTTCATTATGATTTATATTGCGTTCCAATTTATTTAGGCTTAATAATAATAATAATAATAATAGTAATAATAATAATTGTTCATTCGTATATAGCGCAAGTAAGCAAGCTCACAGTGTGCTGTACCTAAAAAAACACAATAGGGATATCAATTATGTTAGATTAATGAAAAACTT